GAAGCCAAAGGGAATCTCATTTTGGCGCCTCACTGGGCTCCACAAGGGGCAGTGTTCACCTGCGTGTGCGCGCGCGTTTGTGTGTGCTTGTGATTGTTTTTGAGGCTACCCCCCCCCAGCCCTTGCTTGGGGTTCGTCGAAAGGGAAGCCACAGGGAAAGTCACCAATTTGGGGTTCCAACACTTTGACACATACATCTATGTGGCCTCCCAATCCGAGTGGAATCGCCAAGCATCATAAGCACGTTCCTTTGATTTCTCTCGCCGGCAAGCGGCCGAGAAATGCTGAGATTGTAATCATCCCAAATCCGCCTTGTGGGACTCGTTCTTCGAACGAGTCGCACGCGATGCAAGGCGTTTAAAGCCTCTACTAAACGAAAAGGCCGCCTTTGGGGCCCAGTGAGCCCTAAATATAGGCTCACACCTTCTGCCTGATGCTGACTCTGAAAGTTTGCATGTCGACAACGCATCAAGAGATCTGCACGCAAGCCCTCTCTCTCTCTCTATTGCAAATGCACTTGCCATCTCAGTTTCCTAGCTGCGAAAGGGCTGTGCAACTCTTCTACGGGGACCTCAGGATCGGATGGCAACACCTCACCAAAATGGGGCATGTCGAGCCTGTGTGCCCCGCACCATATGAAGCAGTGGACTGACCAAAACAGCTATCGCCAAAGAGTGTCAATCTTCAGAGGCCGTGCGAGCACGCGGTGAAACACCCGGCCTATTCTCGCTGTGACTCGTACGTCGCTTGTAACAAGAAAATCTGCGCTGTGATCAATCAGCTGTCAGAAAAGGGAGCCCCACCGAAAATGCGGCAGCAGACTGGCCGCGAACATTCACAAATCACAAATTGTGCTTTGCGTGGCGCACACCGCGCTGCCGGCAACCGCCGAGTCCCAGGTGAATCATTGATCCTTACTCACTTCCTGAGTGGATTGGCCATATGCCACCTCTAGACTTGTGTTGTCACTCGAACCAACAAGAAATTCCACGGAATTTCCAATGCAAATGACAAATTTCAAATACGATCAGCTGCCAAAGGTACACCAGATCTCCACGCGGCAAACTCAGGACAAGCCTCCCTTCGTCTTTCATGGGCTTGGGTTGGACGTTAGTAGAGCGGCACCTGTCTTAGCTTCGCAGGCCATAAAGTCTGGTTCCATCCTTTCCGGCAATCGGGTTTTCAACCGTAGCAACGCCGAAACTCAGCAGTCTTACCAGCCCAATGCAAAGTGAGCAACCGTAGAAGTAGGGACATGGATGTAGAAAGCAAACCTTCGTCTATACTTTGTCACCCCAAAAGGTAGCTTCCCGGTATCCCTGATATCACGAAGAACTGGTCGAAGCCTAGTTTCCCACGGTTGTGACTGGGGTAGCGGGGACCTGGAGGTTGAATGCTTGTCCCTTTGCTACTTGAAGGAAGGGGCGTCGAGGAACAAAAAACACCTCTTTGGCGTGCATTGTTTCCACTGGGGAACCCACTGAACGGACAGGGAGCCACTAAGCAAGGGTTACTCAGTACCTTTTCAAGCGATCTATACAAAACTTGAAGATTTGCGAGCCCCGGGCTGGTTCAGCTTCCGTCGTGCAGGCTTGAACCACTGATGTATAATCTTCCCCTGGATTTTCTGAATCTTCATGAATCGCTCAGCCTTCCGTTGTTCATTCACCCAGAGTGCTAGGCGGCTCGCACCGGTGGGTGCGCACCCATTCAAAATCAGAACAAGAGCAACTTCCGTTGGCTTGGCTAACTGCACACAACGAGCAGCGCGGCGGCATCCATTCTGCCTCCCCGAAATCTCGGGAAAGAACCAAATTCTAGAAACCAAGGAGAGCGGAAGTAAAGGCAGAGTTTACTGGCATGCGCTGACAAGCGGACTACCATGTGTTGAACTATGCTCGTCTTGGCATGTTTGTGTGCGATGGCCTGTATGGGCGGTGCTGTGCTCGTGTGGCTGCGCAAGCTTCTAGTTTCGCATTGATGCATTGGATGTGTTTCTTCAGTGTAGAGTTTCGACGTATCCGCAAAGTACGTATGTGTACTTACCTGCATGTCCGACCTGTGATGGTTTGTGTGTGCGCGTCATTGGTTTGCTGGCTTGCTTGCTTACTCGAGTGCTTGCCTGCTTGTGCGTGTGCGTGTGCGTGCCTTCGTGCTTGAGTGCCTGCGTGCGTGCGTGCGTGCGTGCGTGCGTGTGTGTGTGTGTGTGTGTGTGTGCACGTGTGTGCCGTATTGTTTGCTTGCTTGCTTGGTACACTTATTTCTAATGCTGCTGTTGCTGATATCTTTGTTGTTGCTCCTGCTCCAGCTCCAGCTCCTGCTGCTTTTGCCGTTGTTTTTGCTTTTGCTTTTGCTGTTGCTGCTGCTGCTGCTGCTATTGCTGTTGCTGTTGCTGTTGTTGTTGCTTTTGCTTCTGCTGCTGCTGCTGCTGCTGCTTCTGCTGCTGCTGCTGTTGCTGTTGCTGTTGCTGTTGCTGTTGCTGTTGATGTTGCTGTTGCTGTTGCTGTTGCTGTTGCTGTTGCTGTTGCTGCTGTTGTTGTTGGTGTTGCTGTTGTTGTTGTGGTGGTGGTGGTGGTGGTCGTCGTCGTCGTGGTCCTCGTGGTCGTCGTGGTCGTCGTCGTCGTCGCCGTCGCCGTCGTCGTCGTCGTCGCTGTCGCTGTCGCTGTCGCTGTCGTTGTCGTTGTCGTCGTTGTGGTTGTGGTTGTGGTTGTGGTTGTGGTTGTGGTTGTGGTTGTGGTTGTGGTTGTGGTTGTGGTTGTGGTTGTGGTTGTGGTTGTGGCTGTGGTTGTGGTTGTGGTTGTGGTTGTGGTTGTGGTTGTGGTTGTGGTTGTGGTTGTGGTTGTGGTTGTGGTTGTGGTTGTGGTTGTGGTTGTGGTTGTGGTTGTGGTTGTGGTTGTGGTTGTTGGTTGTGTTGTTGTGGTTGTTGGTTGTGTTGTTGTGGTTGTTGTTGTTGTTGTTGCTGTTGCTGTTGCTGTTGCTGTTTGTGCTGTTGCTGTTGCTGTTGCTGTTGCTGTTGTTGTTGTTGTTGTTGTTGTTGCTGTTGTTGTTGTTGTTGTTGTTGTTGTTGTTGTTGTTGTTGTTGTTGTTGTTGTTGTTGTTGTTGTTGTTGTTGTTGTTGTTGTTGTTGTTGTTGTTGTTGTTGTTGTTGTTGTTGTTGTTGTTGTTGTTGTTGTTGTTGTTGTTGTTGTTGTTGTTGTTGTTGTTGTTGTTGTTGTTGTTGTTGTTGTTGTTGTTGTTGTTGTTGTTTGTTGTGTGTTGTTGTTGTTGTTGTTGTTGTTGTTGTTGTTGTTGTTGTTGTTGTTGTTGTTGTTGTTGTTGTTGTTGTTGTTGTTGTTGTTGTCGTTGTCGTTGTCGTTGTCGTTGTCGTTGTCGTTGTCGTTGTCGTTGTCGTCGTTGTCGTTGTCGTTGTCGTTGTCGTTGTCGTTGTCGTTGTCGTTGTCGTTGTTGTTGTTGTTGTTGTTGTTGTTGTTGTTGTTGTTGTTGTTGTTGTTGTTGTTTTTGTCGGTGTTGTTGTCGGTGTTGTTGTCGGTGTTGTTGTCGTTGTCGTTGTCGTTGTCGTTGTTATTGTTGTGGTTGTGGTTGTGGTTGTTGTTGTTGTTGTTGTGGTTGTTGTTGTTGTTGTTGTTGTTGTTGTTGTTGTTGTTGTTGTTGGTGGTGGTGTTCGCGTGTGGTTGTTGTTTGTTGTGTTTGTTTATGTTTTGTTGTTTGTTGTTGTTGATTGTTGTTTTGTGTGTTGCTTGTTGTTTGTTGTTGTTGTCGTTGTGGTTGGGGCTGCGGTTGGGGTCAGTGTTGGTGTTGTTGTTGCTGAGTTTGTGTGTTGTTGTTTGTTTTTGTTGGTTGTTGATTGATGTTTGTTGTTTGTTGTGTTGTGTTTTTTGTTTGTTGTGTGTTGGTTGTTGATTGATGTTTGTTGTTTGTTGTGTTGTTTGTTTGTGTTTGTTGTTTGTTGATTGTTGTGTGTCGTGTTTTGTGTGTTGTGTGTTGTGTGCTGGTGGTTGTTTGTTGTTTGTTGTTGGTTGTTGGTTGTTGGCTGTTGGTTGTTGTTGGTGGTGATGGTGCCAGTGGTGCTGGCGGTGTGCATGCTGTTGATGTTGTCGATGTCGTTGTTGGCGGCGGTGGTGTCTGTGAAATAATCCGCTTGTAGTGTGGTTGGTTGTTTGCTTGTGAATGTTTGTTTGTTTGCTTGGATGTTTGTGTTTTTGCTTGTTTGCTTATTTGTGTATGCTTGTTCGTTTGTTTGTTTGTTGGTTGGCCGGTTGGTTGGTTGGTTGGTTGTCTGTATGTGTGTCTGTTTCTCATTTCGTTTGTTTTCTTTGTTTGTATGTGTGGTTTGTCTTTTTGTTGGCTGCTTACTTGGTTGTTCAGTTTAGATTGGCTTAGCCTAGTTGATTTAGCTTCTTGTGGCTGTTTGTTCTGTGTGTCCGCCTGTCTGTATGTCTGTTTGCTTGTTGGTTTGCTTGTTCTGTTTGCTTGCTCTATCTGTTTGATTGTTGGCTTGCCTCCTTGTTGCAGTCTAGCTTGGTATGTGTGTTGTGCTGATTGTAAGTGTTTTTTTCAAGGTTGTTTACTGTATGTGTTTAATTGTTTGTTCGTTGCGTTGTTTGTTTGTTTGTGTTTGCTCGTTTGCTCGTTTGCTGGATTGCTGGATTGCTTGATTGTTTGTTTGCTTGCTCCGATTGCTTGCTTGCTTGCTTGCTTGCTTGCTTGCTTGCTTGCTTGCTTGCTTGCTTGCTTGCTTGCTTGCTTGCTTGCTTGCTTGCTTGCTTGCTTGCTTGCTTGCTTGCTTGCTTGCTTGCTTGCTTGCTTGCTTGCTTGCTTACTCTTTACCTTGTCTCACCTCGTCACTTCTCCTTGACGGCAGAGGGCAAACTCTGCAGATTGCTTCCGCATTTGGGCGTGTCTTTTGGAGGGTACCCTTTTTGGGGTTGGTTAAATGGAATCCACCAGAAAAGCAATTATGTTGAGGGTTCCGATTCCTATTCAGAGACAATACCATTTAAGTCACGCTAGCTGTTGTTGCACTCGGCCAGCCGCAGCCCTGCGCGTAGCAAGACCTCACAGGCTTAGCCTGACAGGCCAGATGCGAGCCGGATATTGCAAAATGGGGCGTACGGGCACATCCTCGGCTTTTGAACTCTGCATGAGAAGCCGTGCGCCAAATAACCTGTGGACTGTCCGTCGGAAGCTCAAAGCATGGACCCCGACTTCGCCGGTCTGGGGTGCTTGTCCCCAGTCACCGTCGCCTGAACGGAAAAGCCGGATCCCAACAATCCCAAGACCCTTCAAATAAAAATGGAGACGTCTTCAAACCAACTCCAAAGGGGACCTGCAGCCACATCTGGTCAGGGCAATGTAGCAACAAGATTGGAGTTGATGCACCATCGAATTCGGAGAAATTTCGCGACCCGCTTTTCAATCATTGCCAACAGAATGTGTGAGGCATCTCCCAGACTGGGCCGTACAACTCGTTCGGAAACCCGTGCGGTTTTTTCGGCCCCCGGTTCGGTGGGAACATCCTTCTGGGGGTCCCTCGCCGAGATTTTGCAAAGGTTGGGGAACATGTTTGGAACTACCCGCCGTTTGCGGGTGTGCTTAGGATCACATGCATCAGAAGGCTCTTGATCATGCAGTGCAATGAACAGTGGGGTCTCGAACCGGAGCAAAACGAAGCAGACCAAGGGACAATCACCACTGGCAACTCCTGCTCGAGCACGGATCCTTGCCCCCACCGTCGTGGAATGAGGGAAAACAAAAACATGCGGAGCAGCATGGATGGAACTTGCTCCTCATCACCTCGATATTCACCCTCGATGAGGCCCTTGAAAGTGACGCATGGTAGCTGTATCTTAGGACTTCCCACGAACTGTGCTGAGCCATGTATAATACCAAATTGTCAGAATGCAAAGGCCACCGCGAGAATAAGCAGCCGACGATTCCAACAGACCGCAACATACTGGAAGCGCTCATTCCCAAGCAACCGAGTCTGGGGCCTGGACCCAGAAACAATACGAGATACAGACATGCAAACAAAGAAACACACATGACCATGCTTCGTCCTCATGATTTTCCAAACTTCGCCTTAAAAAGTTCATGAACCTTCCATGACCTCCAGGGCGGTCCTGTTTCCGCTGAGTTTGGAAGCTGAGCATACTTCCAACAGGAAACCTATAAGTATTCCTGACCCCCAAATAACCATGGGTAACTTTGCCCATTTAGTGGGAAGCCTTTCGGCGGAAAATGGTCCAACGCAGGACCGACAGTCAGCCAAGTTGGTGGCTGGAAGTCGTCGGGACCAAATAACTGCCTTGTTCGACCAAGAAAATCGGCAGGCAAGTCGGATTGAAGGAAGCCGGCTTGTTCAGTGAATGGCTAACAAATAGGTTCTTTTCGGATGCTACACACATTGTCCTGTGATCGGAAAGCGTTTGACGGGTCCCTGACAGCCCCAAGGCGGATCCATGAACGCATACTCGAAACTTCCTATATGCGGGTGTACAGGGAAACCAACCCGAAAAGTTGTTTTGAGAACCTCTCCAAAAAAGCGCCCCTAGTCTCAAACACCCTGCAGGTTTTTCCAGATATACCCTGAAGCGGGTAACCAAAGGACCCAACGGGCCTGATCATGGCGGTGCATCGCCAGGGCGGTGCGAATCTGCCGAGCTGCCCGCGACTGGCGGAGTCGAAACGCGAGCACCAGGTCAAATGCGTCCCTACAAATTGAGCCTGCAAGCAATGAAGAGGTTCTTTTGTCATCGGTCGCGCGGAAAACTTGTGGTTCTGTACGCGAATCATGATTTGTATGGGCTCCTCAAACTTCAAGCGTGCATTGCTTTGTCTCATTTGAACGTGGAATAAGCAGGTTCATAGCTTCTGCCGCCTTCAAGGCCTGGCACGGGGATTGTTTCAACGCCTGGCAGCCATCGAAGTGAAGCCAGGACATGCTCAGTCAGAGTGGGAAGTGGCGAGCAGCAAGGCAACTTCCAGAGTCAACTAACTAAAAAATGCCGATGTTGGAGCTTGAGCTGCCATACTAGACCCACTACACTACAAGCAGTTCAAGTGGTCGAGCCTAAGCAGGCAATGTGCAGCTCGCATACCAGACATGTGCTGAAAAGTCACAGGTTTCAAGCTGGAGCTGCCACAGCCTACTTTGAGTACTACTGGCTTGCTGGAAACCGAAATGTGTACTTTGCATATGTTTTAAGTTGGGATTGAATAGCACGGTGCAAAAACAAACAAGCAGCTAAACAACAATAACATGCCCAAAGTTCTCATGAGCAATGGCAGGGTCATTGTGCAACAATACATGTGACTGTTGGGACGAGGTAGAATATTACATAGTAGAACATATATATATATACATGCATACAAATGTACCTATATATATATATATATATGTATACATACATACACGTCTTCACATACTTGTGTATTGTATAGCGCATATAAAGCATAATTACTTTTGTATATCATCCCGATAGCCAGGTATCCAGCTGCACAATCATGGCTTCTACCCCGGCGTGCTCGCCTTGCTCCTGTTCACCAGGAAAGTCTTGTGCTCTTCGCCACTGATCTCAACCTGGGCCGGTTTCAGTGGTATCAGTACAAGCATCCTCCGAGCCTCAGTTCCAAGGACACCTGTGTCTTCGTATGATTGTTTCCCATGGGGGAGCCAACAATGCTTGTCAATCAAGCACCGGCCGGCGAACCCGCCTGCTTGAAAGTCACATATTATATAATGTAATACAATATAATACAACATAATATAGTATAATATGATATAACATACATGTATATAACTATATATCTATATGTATATGTCCTGGTCTTACCATTCCCTTGAAGCAAGGAAAGAGTCCAAGGGCTCTCCAACAATGTAAGAAAGCTCCATCATGGAGTTGAAAGGGAGGTTCCGCCTTCAGGGCAGTGCTGGGTAGCTCTGTGCCCGCAAACATCCCACCCCAGTGAGGTGAACCTCTTGGGAAGTGCTCGAAATCAGCAATGGGCAATTCCTCGAACTCCTCGAGTTCAAGCTGAGGGTTGCCTGTCTTTTCTTCGCCAGCTGCGTGGAAGCTGCCAGGAGTGGTGTCCCATCAAAAAGGGCAGGGTCTTCCTGCCATTCTAGGTCGATGGGGAGGATAGTCCTCACGAGTTAGTAGGGGGCGAGTACTTGCGGAGAACTTTGCAAGACATAAAGTATTAGACCAAACGATGGAGCTTTCTTACATTGTTGGAGAGCCCTTGGACTCGTTCCTTGCTTCAAGGGAATGGTAAGACCAGGACATATACATGTATAAATATATAGTTATACTTGAGAAGTCCCCATGGTCTTTCCGCCACCTCCCTGCCAGGTCAAGGCTGCGAACCGGAATGAGATGGAATAGCAGCTCCATGGGCATGACTTAGTCTTGGCACAGGTCTCTCTTCCTTCAGCAATCAAGGCCCTTTGCCCATGATCCCTAGAACCTAGGCACACTATCCGGTTATGTCCTCTTTGAGGACCGACTTCACACACCCAAACTTCAGGGCTCCATCACCCCATTTCTTAAGGGCTCGCTCGAGTTGACTGGCCCCACAATGTCCTTTTCCTAGTTCCTCCAGTAGAAAGATTAGAATAAGGGTACCTTTTTTTTCTGTGGTCGATTTGAGTAGGGGAACTCTGCTCCCCAAAAAAAGGTAAAAAGGGCACAACTGGGGGACCTAGACAAAGTCCTTTTCCTTTGCTGCCTTTCTGGCAAAACGTCAAAAAACCTGGAACCCAACCGTGGAGTGAGCGCTGGTAACTGCCGCGCAAGGGGCGAGCCGTTCCTCGAAGTCGTAGTCGTGTCCTCCACAGTCCAGCCACGCCTTTGTGGCGCTGCCTCAGCCAGCGCCCCCCTCTAAGGCACTCACCTAACTTAACCCTTTCTCAGTCGGTTTCTGCTCCCCTGCTGCAAGTTTAACTTTGGTTTCATGGAAAACCCAGTAGTTGGCAAAAAGTTAAAGTCCTAACATCCAAGCAAAATGCACCAAAGTTAAGCCTTTCTAAACACCACACGGCCGGGACGGGACCAGGGAACTGAATGTTTAAGGCATTCTCTTGAGGAGTTCATCTGATGCAAGTGCCAAACCGTTCTTAAACTTCCACATGGGCAGCTCCTGACCATTTCACATGTCTTTGTTGGCTGATCTCTGTCAAGTCGACTTAGGGTTGAACAAACCACAGATGCGTTTGGGGCCTGCCTGCATCCGAACATGGACACACGGCTGCACAGCTATATGCCTCGCTATGGGTCCCGGCTAATCTGCACCCTTGTGGGGATCCCAGTACTCTCCATCAAGTTGGCAAACTCCACGCTCGGCCCGAAGAGGTGGTACCGAGGTCCTCCGGCCCAAAGGCGGCTGGCTAAATCCGGAATCTGAGCTTGGAGACTTTAGGGAATTCCCTTCCAAGCTCCAAACGAGCTGCCCCAGAAACGGGTCCTAAAAACGCCAATGAGAAAACAAAACGCTCAATGAGAAAACAATCGCTCAATAAACAAAAACATCCATATACAGTCTGTTTTGAACTAAGAATATCGAACCCGGGACATCATGTGTGGCGATCAGTTGAGGCTGCGCTGAGATCAGTCCTTTCTTACCCACCACCCCGGCGATGACGTTGCCGCTGTGGATGCCACATCCTAGGTTCAGCCCCGAAAAGGGTTCAGGCGTCGACTTGCGGACTTGCTTTCGCACATGCGGACGAAAACACAAACACTCTTGTGGTTGTGTTGGTGCGATTCGAAGGGAACCCCTGCATCACACTACGTCATACATGTATATATATACATATATATATATGTACATATATATATATATGAAAATATATATATATGTATATGTATATATATATATATATTTATGTAGATATGTGTGTAAAGATCATCCTTCCAGCAACACTATGGTTGAAATTGTATAGGGCCTACCTCAAACTGCGGGACACATGCACTGGACAAGCGGATGGACTGAATGCGTTCTGAGCTTCGCATCTGCACCGAGTTGTCGTCGCACACGGTAGGCACCACTCGCTGCAGTGCAAGGCCCACCTGGCGGCCGTGGCCGGGAATATGTGTGCGTGTGCGTATACCTGAACCCTCAAAAGTCCCTTAAAAATGGGTTTGACCCCCAAAAGGGGTGATATCCCATTTTTATGGGTAGTTTGAGGGTCCAGGTATATATATATATATATATATACATACATATATGATGTGTCTGTGTATTTTGCTTGTTGAGGTGGGCCTTCAACTCCGAATCGGGAAAACTAAGTGGGTGCACAGGGCTGGAAAAATGCGGAGCAGATGCATCCCCTCGCGACTTCCTTGATATCAAGCGTCGAGGTGTGACTTTGAAACTGTACGAGCTGCACCTTGTGGGACATATTGGGACTTGTATAACTACAAGTCTCCAACAGAAGCTAACCCGACCCTCCCAAGTGACAAGTGGTTATGCTGCTGGGCTAACCACAAAATGGTCGACTTGTTGGGGTACTGAGAGGAGACTAGACCGGGCCAGGAAATAAATGACTGTGTCAGGAAACATGAGTCAAGAAATGGACAGGGGCGAGTCAAGAAATAACTGGAGGCAAGTCAAGAATAAGAGTGATAAATATATAGAACAGCAAACGTGTCAGGAAACGCGGAAAC